TTAGATTTAAAGCAGAAGAGTCCCAGGAGAGATAGAAAACAGAAAGTAAAGACTCGGGAGCAAATATAGAAGCAATAGAGACTAGAAGAAAATCTTTGGGAAAGGTATGGTAAGTGGAAATTGAAAAAGAATCACGATTTCCTTAATTATACTTTTTATCTCCTGGGTTTTTGCTCCCAAAGATGCTTCACATTCTTTTTCCAGGCTTTTTTCACTTCTCTCTTCCTCAATCCAACCCTTTCTTCATTTACAAGTCACCTCCTTCAGAAGGCCTTTATGAACTCATTCTTACTTACTCTTCAATCTCTCAAGCAAACCCTCAATCCACTCTTCCCCCCTCAGTGCACTGCATGACGGACACACCCTATTTGCCTCATTACACTCCCTAATTCAGTAATGATAGATTTGGAGTGATGATGGATACACTTTACTTGCCTTATCATAATTCCTAAGGGCAAGGACCATGACTGCCTGTCATCCATTTCCCAAATACCTCCACATACCTACCTCTTCCCCTTGAAGGCTTAAAGACTTGTAGACTATCTAAATGGATAAGATGATACTAGTAAGGGGGAGAAGACAGATTGGAGGACAAACAAAAGGAAAGAAGGATAAAAGGGGAAGAGAAGAAGAAGGAAGGGGTAAGGTCTGTCCCACCTCTAACATTCATTAGTGTCATGCATGGATATTGTGCCATAACACAACATCACAAGTAGGTATCCTGGAAGGAGGTGGAAAGGGTGGGAGCAGTTATATGAGTGGCACCTACATGAGAAAAGGAGATGTGCATGTTAATAGAGAGGCAATACAGTCACGGTCAACTGGAACATGCAAGGCCAAGCCAACTCACACAAAATCACCTCCACCCTTCTGGCTTTCTGGAGATAGAATGTACTTGAGGAGGGATTAGCAGACCAAGTACGGTGTTTTGGGGGAGTCTAGATGGAGGGAGAAGGGCTTGAGAAGTAAGATAGTTCCTGACTGATTCTGTGTCCAAATGCCTTTTCCTTTGCTGGTGTCCTAGAACCATTAGGTGTGAACTCATGATAACCAGAGTGTAAAGGCTGAGTAAAGTTTTTAGCAGAAATCCTTCATCATCTGGTTATAGAAGGGAAATGAGATCTAGTCATTAGCTCCTGCAGCCAGACTGAGCACCAGGTCTCCTACCATAGGAGCATTCCCTAGCACTGTGTCCGGCACATGCCAGTGAGGAAGTCTATTGATTGTAGACGATGTCTTTGTCTGGCATTATAAAGTATAAGCAGAGTCAATCAAAAAATGCTCTCACTTTGCCCAATCAGTGATGAGTGATTCAACGACTGGGCAGAGGCATATGGAGACACAGTGCATCACTGTCCCATCAAGGGCAGTGAACATGAAAGTTGGGTTCCTGTTCCTATACTGCTTACCATCTGTTGGATAGAAACAACACATAGATAAACCAATCATTGCAGGCAGTGATAAAGATGACAAAGACAATAAATCTCAGTACAGAGATAACAAATTACTTTGAAGAAAACTACTTGAAATACAAGTGGTAAAGGAGTCTTCTATGGAGCTGAGTGTGCAGCTCAGTGAGAAAGCACTTGCTTAGCAACGAGCAAGGCCCGTGGTTTCCATCCCCAGCACAAAAACAAACAAACAAATAAAAAGGCGTCTCTGAATGTATTACCTTTGGGTTGAGGCCTGAATGAGATGATGGAGAGGGCCATGTGAAGCTCTGGAGTAAGAGGGCCCAACCAAAAAGAACAATGAGTGCAAGGCTATATAGTCAGATCCACCTTGGCATGTTCAAGGAATGGAAAATATAAGGCACTGCAGCTAGAACAGAAAGAAAGAAATGGGAGGGGTAGGTCCACCTGCACACCCCAGGGCACGATACCTGGGACCCATCCCCAGAAGTTCTGTTTAATTAGTCTGAGATGCCACCTGGGCATCAAAAGTTTGAAAGTTTCCCTGATGGTTCTAATGTGCAATCAAGGTTGTAAATCACTGACATGAGAAGACCTTGAGGGCCATCGTAGGGTACTTGCATTGGTGATGGTACATATGACGCTCCCGAAGGGACTCAGAGGCTTTTTCCTAATACTCCAGGCCCAGATCCTGAAATAACTCATTGTCTAGATCCAGACAGGTAGGGATGAAGCCAAGAAAATCAAACTATCCAAAGGAAAAGAGACAAAGGGGACTGATAGGAAGGCTGAGAGAGGCTGCAAAATCCAGAAAAACATGACAGTGATATGAAAAACAGACAAGTGCAGCCGGGTTTGGTGGTATATTCCTATAAATCCTAGCACTCCAGAGGCTGAGGCAGAAGGATCACAAATCTGAGGCCAGCCTGGGGCTATATAGTAAGACCCTGTCTCAAAACAAACAAACATACAAACAAACAAATAAACAACAACAGAAAACAGACAAGTGCAGACAGATCCCCAAGGTCCAGAAACTGAGAGAGAAAGGGCAAGTGTTGGCAATAATGGTGCTGATAGGTTTCAGTTCTTACTGCACCCTTAAGCTTCTGTTTTCCAGGGTCACGGTCCTGCCTCCCAGGGTCATAGTCCTGCCTCAAGTCTAGCTTGAACCCTCCTTCTGCCCCAACCTCCAATCAGCATGAACCATAAGATCCTAACCAATCAGATCATGCTGAGTCTCACTGAGGGGTATTTAAGCCCCTGCCCCTCTCTCTCTCTCTCTCTCTCTCTCTCTCTCTGCTCTCTCCCTCTCCCACCTGGCAATAAAGAATCTCTTGGCCAGTTCACTCCTCTCCACGTGGTCACTTTGGGCCTACTTTTCCAACAGCAAGTATATGTGTTAGTTTCCTACTGCTGCTGTAACAAAATCACCACAAACTTAGTGTCTTACAACAATACCACATTTATTGCCTTATAATTCTCTAGTTCACAAGTTTGGACAGGGTCTCACTGGACTAAAATCAAGGTGTCAGCAGGGTGTGGCTTCTTCTGAATGCTCTAGTAAAGAATCCATTCTCTTGGCTTTTCAGCTTCTAAAGGCTGCCACTTCCTGAAATCATGGCTCCCTTCCCCAGTCTTCAAAGCCAGCAATGTCAGGCTGAGTCCTTCTCAAGCTGCGAGCTCTCTGGTTCTCTCTTTGCTTCCACTCTCCACTTCCAAGGATCTTTGTGATTACCATGGACCCACCTAGAACGCTGGAATCGTCTCCCTACTTTAAACTCAACTGATTATCAAACATAGTTCCACTTGCAAATTAATTTCCTATTACCTAGTAGGATAACATATTCAGTTTCCAGGAATTAGAATGTGGCCTCTGGGGAGGGGGTGGGAAGTGAATTATTCTACCTACTATAGCACAGAAATGCATCTTTTGCAAAGCAGATTTTCTTCGTATCTGTAGACTTTCGCTTGAGTGTTACCTGTTTATTTTATGAGCATTGAGCTAGGATGTTTGTTCCACAATGAATGTGCATATATTTGTTTGTGTAGGTTTGTTTATCACAGTGTCATATTTGAGTACCTCCCTAATAGGTATGGGGGAGGAGGAAGAAGGGTGCCTCAGGGGGTGCCTAATAAAGTGCTACTGCTCTGTAAAGACTGACTGCTCTTGTATTGTTGTTATTGTTGACAACAAAACTAATGACAGAGTGTTCCTTTGCATGCTTTGGTTAAGCATGTCCATCTGTTCCTAAATAATCCTGGGTGTCCATGCTAGTGATATTCCATATATATGAGACTACTGTGGTATATTTGTGATGTTTACATTATGTGAGGGTATCTATCTGTAAGTTTGTGTACATTGGGCATTTGGACATCAATGAACACACAAACATGTTATACAACAGTGGTTGTGTGATCACAGGTGTAGACAACTGGAGATTTACTTATTCTCAAACCTCCAAAGATATCCAGACAGAAAGACCTGGCATGGAAGAAACAGAGAAGCTAGAAAGAGGAAAAAACAGGGAGGAAGAGAGGAGAAGAAGAGGAGAGAGGGGAGGTGGGAAAAGGATGTTGGAGGAGGAAAAGAGACAGAGAGATAGAAGTGGGGGAAGAAGGCACAAGGAAAGATCAGAAAAAAAAAATGAGAAAACAGGAGGAAGTTTCAAGAATTTGCAACTAAAAAGAGGCAGGGTTGGGTCAGAGCAAGGGCACAGTCAGAAGATCTGGGTATGGCTCCACTTCTTCCCTAGCTGTAACCTTAACAAGTCCAGGTCTCTGAGTCCCAGTGAACTAATACAGTTGAAATAGATAATCTTTGGTTACCTTCGAAAGAAGGAAGCAAAGGGAAAAATGAAAATAAGAACCCACATAAAGAAAAATAGAAAGAACCAGAAATCCATAGGAAGAAAGTGAGGAAAGGCCCTGAGAGCCAATCAGAGGTAGAACTGAGAGCGCCCTACCCTGACTCCTTGAGACAGGAATGTGGGCGCCTGCTCCCACCCCTTATTCCAAAGCTTCACAGTGGCCTTAGGTCCTTAATAGGTAAGGAAGATGGAAAGTAGAGAGGCGCTGAGAATGACAGCCACACACCAACACTCGAAGCCTGCCAAAGCCACACAAACCAGGATCCGAGCTTCCGGCCCCCAGCCCCCAGATGTAGGTGTGCCAGCCACCTGGAATGACTCACACCCTGGCAATGTGAGCACAAATGCCAAGAGCGAACCTGGGCGCCCTGCCCATCCGCACACCACAGGCCCATAGAGGAGGTAAGATCGGGATCTCCGGGGGGTGACAGGGGGCTATCCTGACCACGCATCGCTACCTTGTCCCCAGAGCGCCCCCTAGTGACCATTTCTTAGGTGTTCCATGCTCCCCACTCTCCTCCCCCAAACTTTACTGGGGGAAGCGGGAGAACCAGATGAGGTGTTTCGCAAGGCCTGATGTTTACCTCCTGCAGGAGCCTCCTCCCTCCCTATAAAGCCTGACGTGGTGGGGAGGCTCGCCAAGACTGAGGCTGGTAGAAGAGAGAGCCAATCCCAGGAGACGGGCAGAAAAGCGGCAGAAAGTTAATGCGGGAGACAGAGAGAGGGGCATCGAGTCAGCAAGCAGCAGGGGCGACCCGCCATCTGCGCTTTCGCAGGCGGTCGCGGTGGTCGCGGAAGGGGTGGCGCCCAGACCCTGGCTTCCCATGGAGGCGCCTGAGCTGGGCCCAGGGCTGGTGGAGCGTCTGGAGCAGCTGGCGACGTGTCCGCTGTGCGGGGCCCCTTCGAGGACCCAGTACTTCTGGCGTGTGAGCACAGCTTCTGCCGCGCGTGCCTGGCCCGCTGCTGGGGGACCCCGCCGGCGATCGGCGCTGAGGCGCCCCCCACCACCTGCCCCTGTTGCGGCCTGCCGTGTCCCCGCCGCAGCCTGAGGTCTAATGTGCGGCTGGCGGTGGAGGTGCGGATCAGCCGCGGGCTGCGGGAGAAGCTGGCGGAACCTGGAGTCCGCACCGGGAGACGTCGAGGGGGCCGCATCCCGACCATGGGCTGCCTAGACCCGCACGGAGAGGTGAGGTGGTGATGCCTTCGCGGGTCCCCAGCTATTATTGCTGGGAGTGGGGGAGGCTCATGAGTTCCCTGGGGGAAGCTGGAATGGCACTTCGCGCGCCAAAACCCTTATGGAAGTTTAGGTAAGAGACGGAGCTGGGGAAAGAAAAGCAAAGAATGAGAAGGCGGGGGGTGGAGGGTGGAGGGTGGGGTGTGTGTGTGTGTGTGTGTGTTAGTGACTCGGTCCTCAAGGTGAGGAGTGCCAGGAAGAATGATGGAAAGGAGTTGACACTTGGTTCAGAGAAGAGGAGGCTGGACAGATGCCTGAGTCGTGACAGGAACTGGACAGAAAAGGTTGGAGAGGCACAGACAGGTTGGGTAGTAGATAACACGCAGAGGCCCTGGAGACCCTTGCCGCCCTTGTGAAGACCTTGCGACCCGCGGGAGCTTGGGCACGGTCGCTGCCAGGCATCTGGAAGGAGCTGAGCTGGTGGAGAGTGAGTCCGCGCGAGGAAGGTCGAGTGACCTGAGTAGGGCAAGCTGGGGACCAGGAAGGATGGTGGGAGAGGTCAGAAAAAGCCAAGGGGAGCAGGAGCCAAGGATGGGGAGGACTAAGAAAATGCTGGAGTGGAAGGGCGGAAAAACGAGGAGACTGACAGAAGATGGAAGAAGAAAGGGGAAACATATCCCAACAGCCCCTGTAGAATGGTGATAGGAGGTTGGTCCCCAACTCAGGCCCCAACTGAGCTCAGTGTTGTTATTGTTCACAGCTCCTCCCAGGTCCCCAGGCAGGGGTGGTGACAGGTGGAGGCGAGGTCTGGGAGAGCAGCCATTGGAGCCTCTGGCTTCTCTCCACATCCCAGACTTATAGTCTCCCCACCCTGCGCCCCTCCTGGGCCCAGACTCCTTGGCCACCAACCAGCCCTATTCCCTTGCCGACCCCCAGGCATCTGAGACTAGCTTCTCCCCAGCAGCCCAGCCGGTCTTGGGTCTTGCTTCCATCCTTTGAAGTCTTCACAGGTCTAATTAGTCTAGGTGTAATTCGCATAATTAGGCAAATTGCCTCTCCTCTCCTCTTTCCCCCTCCCCACCATGCTGGTCTGCTGCAGCCATCCCTGCACAGTGAAGAGAAAGGGTAGGGGGTCCTAGTATTTGGAGGGGGAGAGAATCCAGCGCCCTCTTCTGGTTCCCATGGCTCTCTCTGAGATCTGCTGGGCCTTTTGGGACACATCCAAGACCAGCTGCCTCCCTGGCCAGAGTAGAGAAACACACAAAGCAAAGAGCCCAATAAACGCCTTCTGGGCTTTTATGACAGGAGGGGAAGCAGCTTTATTGTAAGTCTTTTATATGCCAGCTCTTAGCTCAAGGGCTCTGGGTGTGTGTTTTGTCTGTGTCACGGTGGGGAAAGAGGTGGACATTTGAGATACACTTGGGAAGGTGGATAAGAATGGATGGAGCTACAGAAAGACAGAATGGGGTTGGGGAAGCAGGAGAGGAAGCTCGGGAAGAGGATCTGAAAACCCTTGAAGACTGGAGAGGGTAAAGAGGGCATGGGGATGGAATTAGGAGAATGAGGAAAAAGTGAGGATGGATATAACAAGAAGGAAAGGTCATGAAAGGGGAAAAGAGGAGAATGAAAGGGGGAAAGGGCATAGAGGAAACAAGTATGATGATCACTCTGAGAGGTGGGAAGGGCCATCAGTCACTCTACAGAGCTCACCTGAGGCAGGGAATTGGGATGAGGGCAAACTCACCACAGTATGAAATCTAGCACTTACGTCCATGTTTTCTTCTCCTTGTCCCAGGATATGAGGAAGACATGGAGACGGTGAGTTCCACTTTTGTTTCTTCCTTTCTACTACGGGTAGGCATAGCCATCACATCTGGCTCCTGGGTCCACATCTTTAGCTCCACTTACGGGAAGGTTTTCTGGGGTGTGACCTCACCTGTTCCTGCTCCAGAAGTGAGTGGGCTAGAAGAAGGAGCATCAGAAGACAGAGTTGTCTAACGATTTCCTGACACTTCCCCTCATCTGTCCAGATTTGATGTCCCAATGCCCAAGTCATCTAACTCAGAGGAAGATCTCCCTGAAGATTACCCAGTGGTCAAAAACATGCTTCATAGACTGACAGGTAAAGAAGAAAGAAGGGAGGGAACTGAATGAGAATCTGTGCTAGGTTTGCTCCCTTCTAGCTCTCAGAAATGGCCAAGTTATTTGTGATGTCTGTATTAGTTTCTCAGGGCTGCTATATTAGAGTGCCACAAATTAGGTGATTTAAACAACGGACATTGGTCATCTCATTGAGGTGTCAGCAGTGTTAGGTTCTTCTTAAGAACTGAGGAAGAATTTGTTTCATGCCTCTCTCTTAGCTTCTAATAGCCTCAGCAATTCCTTGGTCCTTTATGCATTTATCTCTGTGTCTAAATTTCCCCTTTTTATAAGGTAGCAGTCATATTGAATTAGGACCCACCCCAATGACCTCATTTTTAACTTGATCACCTCTGTAAAGACCCTACTTCCAAATAAGGTCAATTTAGAAATATTGGGGGACTTAACATACCTTTTGTATGGGGTGGCACAGTTTAAACCCAGAACAATGTCTATCCTTAATTTCTCATATTCCTGCCATTTTCTCTCTTCTTTTTTCATACAAACAACAAATCCCTGGATGTTGTCTGACTCTCAGGAATCTCTGTTTCCTCTACCTCTATCACTCTTCTCTAGACCGGTCCCAGGACTCTAGCATTCCTTCCTTGCTCACTCCCAACGCTGTTCTCCACCCTTCTTTAAATTGCCTAGAGATGTTCCAACCTCTTAGACACCCATCATCCAATCTAATTCTGATTGCCGCTAACACCCCTAATCCAGAAATCTTTCCTTAAAGCACCTCATACATGCAAGTCCAATGGTTCTTTCTTCTGGTCCCTTTGGCTACCTGTACCTTCTCTCCTCTGCTCCACGCCCCCTGTAGAAATAGGCCTGTCCATAGCCACCTGTGCCTGAGGGTGGGTGGTCTGGTTTTGCAGGATATCTTGGATTCCTCCTTTTGCCCCTTCCCTCTGTCAGTTAGGGTTCCGGTATCACGTATCAGTCTTTTTTACTCCATCTTCTCCATCTTGCTCCCATGCCCCACCCCAGATGCTGTACTCATCTTTCCCAAGTATTAGTACTCATTCTTTCCCAAGAATGCTGCGGGTAGGCATAGCCATCACATCTGGTGATGAGTATTAGTACTCATTCTTTCCCAAGAAGTCGGCTCAGCCTCACTTTTCCTCCTCCAAACCTCAGACCAGACCTTGATCTCTGCCCTGTGCTCCCTGCCCTGGGTCAGCATGGTTCTTCCGCAAGTCCAGTTCCACAGAAGTGATGTATTAGAGCACAGGCCCGATCCTGATCTGCCCAGGCCTCCTCTTATGCCTTTGTCCTTTTAGGTCCTGCAGCCACCTTTTGAGCTGTTGTAGGGTCTCCAGCACTTAGTTTCCTACGTGTCATTCGCTGCCTATTCTCCACCCTGCCCACACTCCTGACTCCGAAGCCCCTCTCACGAGGTCCTCCCCCTGCTTCATCCTCTGCAGCGGACCTGACCCTAGACCCTGGCACCGCACACCGCGGCCTGCTCATCTCCACCGACCGCCGCAGCGTGCGTCTGGCCCCGCCAGGGACTCCGGCACCCCTTGATGGCCCTGCACGCTTCGATCAGCTGCCGGCGGTGCTGGGCGCTCAGGGCTTCGGGGCCGGCCGTCACTGCTGGGAGGTGGAGACGGCGGATGCCTCCTCCTGCAGAGACTCTTCCGGGGAGGATGAGGACGACCGGGAGAGCCGCTATGCTGTGGGCGCGGCCGGGGAGTCGGTGCAACGCAAGGGCCGCATCAGGCTGTGCCCCGCGGAGGCCGTGTGGGCCGTGGAGGGCCGCGGCGGGCGCCTGTGGGCCCTCACAGCACCCGAGCCCACCCTGCTAGGCGGCGCCGGGCCTCCGCCGCAGCGCATTCGCGTGGACTTGGACTGGGAGCGCGGCCGCGTGGCCTTCTACGACGGCCGCTCACTGGACCTGCTCTTTGCCTTCCAGGCGCCCGGCCCCTTGGGAGAGCGAGTCTTCCCGCTGCTTTGTACCTGCGACCCCCGCGCCCCACTGCGCATTGTACCAGGAGAAGGCTGAGTCACGTCCCCAACCCCCATCACAGCATGGCCCAGCCGCCTAGGCTGCTTCCTCTTGAGTGTGGAAGTCTCCACTTGATTTCTGTGACCACGTGTCCATACTCCTATTGCAGGAGAGTATTAGTAAGCACCCTCCACACACACCAACTCACATTATTTCTTCTCTCCCAAAATAAGACCTCAACCGGCCTCTAGGTTTCCACATCTATGTCCAAAACCAAATGTGTTTTTGATTCCCACCCTCTGGGGAATCTTTTCTCTGGCCTCTTATCCTAGTACTTCCCAACTGAGTTCTCCCCTTTCTTTACCATTCCAGACCTGAATTGGGGAACAGGCTCTGCCCCATCAGTATTGGTAAGCAGCCCATGTTTACTACATAGAGGCCCTGCCTCTCTTAGCTCCAAAGGGCTCAGTGCCTGCCCTGCACATAAAACCAATGGTGCTACCTCCCCTCTTCTCAACCTGGAAATGACCCAGCTATCCCCAAACTCATCGTTGTACACAGTCTCACATCTTTCCCCATATGTATAAATGGGCCCGTATTTAACACATTTTGTGATGTTGGGTTATTTATTTTGTGCATCTGTGGCAATAAATGAGATCTCAGTGGTGGTATAGACTTAACTGATCTCTGCAACTATGCATGGCATGATGCCTGGAAAATGATAATCAGATCCCAATAAGGGGTTTGGGAGGGCCAAGAGAGCTGGACATCTGGGCTGATAAGAGACATCAAAGTCTAGGAAGAAAAGGGGTAGGAGTATAGTGCAGGGGACAGGCCCCAATCTCATTGTTCTCTCTCTGCGTTCTTCTTCTAGGGGCCCAGGCCCTGGGACTATGTTGAATATCCCTGAAGCCAAAAGGCCAAAGGCTGACAAGATAGTTGGCTCTAAGTGACCAGTCTCAAGCCAGCTTTTAAAGGGTGGGAAGAGAAGACTTGACTATTTCTTATTCATTTCCCTTTAGAGGTGTGAATGACAAAGACCTCGCTCTTCTAATTCCTTCTGAGAATAGAAAGGGGTATGCAGGAGGGGAAGGGTTAGGAGTCCTGTGGTCTCTCATATGCCTTTACATCCCACAGGCAAGGACTAAGAATGAGGACTATATAAATGCGTAAGTGGAAGAACTCTAAGCCAGTATTAATAAGCATAGCTGGGGCAAGATTGCCTGGAATCTGACTGGGACCCTGGCAGTGAAAGCTGGGATTGCTGGAAACCCAATTTAAATGTTTGGGACTCAAGTTGAGGATGCAGGGGCTAAGACAACTGAATCCCAGGATAGGCAGTTTGGCAGTGAGAACAAAGGGAACAGACTGGGACCAAGATGCCTAGATCCTTGCAAAAGTGGGAACTAGGGGTGGGGGTGTGGGGAGAAACGAGGGCTGGGAGAACCCCAAAGCCTGGGTTCTGGAATAGCAGCAAGTCAGAATTCAGGATCTTGGTCCACCTACCTCTTCCTCTTCTCCCTAACAGGCAGGAGAGAGGGAAGGAGGTGGCTGGAGAAGGGATCAAACCATGGGTTTAGTCCCCAGGTAGCCACATGGATACATTCAGGGCCAGACAGACACAGGAATGGTGGAGGAGAGGAATTTAGTGCTGCATTGGCCCTGGAGGTGGCTGGGAGGGGTCAGGAGGCTGGGGAGGAGTTGTGGGGATCGGTCCTGGAGTTGTAGGACGCCGTCCTTTACGGTGGCCCCGTACACAGTGTGTATGACCACAGCCTTCCTCTTCCTCTTCACTCTCAGTGGAGCTCTCGCCAAAGGCCCGAGGTTTCTCATAAATACAGCAGCCTGGATTTAGAGGGAGGATCCCAGTTAAAAAGAGGAAGAATAAGATGTTCAGTCAGAGCTGGGCATGGTGGTGCACAGCTGTAACCCTAGCAGTCAGGATCCTGAGGTAGGAGAATCGAGAGTTCAAGGATTGGGCTACAGAGTGAGTTCTAAGCCAGCCTGGGCTATATACAGCAAGACCCTGACTCACAAAAAAGATGTTCAGTCAGTTTCATTCCCACTGGATCTCTGGAAATTGTCTCCTCCTCCCTTCTAACATCTCCATCCCCCAGGGACTCAGGCACTCACCCACTTGTTCCTTTACAGAGCCAAGAAACTGAAGCCCTACTTCTCTAACCTCAGATACCTCTTGCTGTCAGCCCTTGGTACCTCACAGTTCTAATCCCACCCTACCTGTTTCCCTCTAACTTTAGCCTCTTTTCCCTAGAACTGCCAAGAGAACCACCAAGAAAGTGACATAATAGTAAGCATCTGGGGGCTTGTAGGAGACCAGTGAACATGAAAAGGTAGACAATATGCAGAAGGGAGGTCCAGGGCTACTGTGGGCCCACAATTACTTACATTTTGATGAGCGGCGTCCCATGTGTTCATTATCCACAGTGTCACTTGTCCATTCCACCTTTTTCTCTGGCTTCCGTTTCCGAAGTTTGATGGTTAGGCTCCGGTTCTCCTAGAAGGTTAAGAGTTATGGGCATATCTCTCTAGTCTTCTACTGACCTTTTCCATTCCTTCCCAGGGGACCTCCTCTCCCCTTCCCCAGCTCAATTAGTACCACACACATAGCACCAGAGGAGCCAAGTACTGGGAGAAGATAAAATAGAACCAGTCTTTAACCTCAGGGAGTCCTTGAGAGTATTATTTCCTGCTCTTGATAACCACTAGTATCCAGAGAAGACACAATTCCTAACCTAGGGAAGGTCTCAGCAAATCTTCAAAGGAAAATATAATCCTCCATGTTTGTCTTCCTCCCCACATCATCCTTGGTGGTATTAACAATAAATGAAAATTACTTCCTCAGTCCCCAGTGACTAATCTTTGATCTCTCTTACTTTTTCCAGACCCCTAGCACTCCTTTTCCCATTCAAAAAACAAAAAAAAAACTTGGTCATAGTGACACACCCTGTAATCTCAGCACCTGGGAGGCTGAGGCAGGAGGATTGTAGATTCCACGTCAGCCTGAACAATTTAGCAAGACCATTTCCAAAACAAAAAGCCAACACCCCACCCCCCAAAAAACCAAAACAACACAAAAAGACCTTTATTCTTACCTCTCTCATCTTCGAGCCCTCCCTATCTCTTACCCACCTATTATCTGGCATCCTAGCATCTCTGGTAGCAATTATTACTAAACTACTAAACTCCCTTAATCCAGAGATTATTAAACCCAGTGCAAATTCTGTCTTTGAAAGCAATTTAACCTGTATTTGTTTCCCCATTTACATCTCCCCACTTCATCTTATTTTCTTGCTTCCTCATTCCCTCTACTCTCTTTGACATTCATTCATTCAAAAACTATTTATTGATAAGTATGCTTCTGGTCAAATTCCCCTACACCTGGCCTCAAACCATGCATTCTTTGGCAGCCTTTCATTTACTTCCAGCACCTTCCTAACTCAATCCCAGAATTCCTTTTATTACTTAAACCGACCACCCCCCAACCAGCAACATCTACATCCTACGTGTAACTTCCTATTACATGTTCCTTGATCAGCCTCCTGCACCATCTCTGCCAATCCAAACATCTCCAGTCCCTCGCGATTCTCTAGACAGTCAACCATACACCTCCCAGATTCCCAACTTTCCAAAGCCCTGTCCCCTCCCTCCCGGTATCTCCCAGACCCCTAAACAGCACAGCACCGCACCACCACCACCACCACCCCCCTCCGCCTTTCTCACGGGCTCGGTTGTCACGGTAACCGTTGTCTCAGTGACGGTCTCACTCAGCCCAGCCCCTGCCTCGGCCATGGCTAAGGCTGGGAAAAAGGAGGCGGGGAGGAAGGGGGGGATGAGACGCCCCTCCCTTTTTCCGTGTCTTTGAGTTCTAGGAGAATCGGTATCCGATTCAGAGTAGTAGCCAAGATCCTCTGCCTGCTTTTTCTCCCCCTCCTCCAGGGCCTCTGCTTCCCCACTGGGGATAACCTGTCCAACCCCACTTCCGGCCTCCCACTTCCGGGTGTGACGCATTCTGCAGTCCCTCGTTTCCCTTCTCCAGTACCACTACGTCAAAGCTAGGCGTCGCCAGCTTAGTTCCGCCGTAATATGACAGCGCGCAGGCGCCAGAAGAAGGCAGAAACAAATGTGGCGCAAGGGGCGTCATTGCGGGTGTGGGAGGAGGGGCGTCCCGGGCAGCCCGCACCGCAGACGAGCCAGAGCTGGAAGGGACGCCGAGAGCAGGCACGGGGACTGTGCGCCAGGTGGAAGGCCACAGCTGAGGCCCTCTCCCCTTCACCCGTAACCCTGGGTGGGTGGGGAGCGCGGGGAAATAGGTGCAATAATGTCCCTATCGTACCAATTCCCATTTCCTTATTGTTCCGTGTGGGTTTAATGAAACGGGACTTGGGAACATTTGGTAACACTCGATTAAGAACCAAGCAGTCTGGGTTCTAGTCTTCGCCTTGTGCCTGTGCCTGTGCGTGTGCGTGTTTTGCGATACTGGGGCTTGAACTCAGGGCCTTCGCCTTGAGCCACTCCACCAGCCCTATTTTGAAGGATTTTTCGAGATAGGGTCTCGCGGAACTATTTGCCTGGGCTGACTTTGAACCTCGATCCTCCTCATCTCTGCCTCCTGAGCAGCTAGGATTACTGGCCTGAGCGCCTGTGTGTATTGGAGCAGGCTACTTAATGCACCTTCAATTTGGATTTTTGGTCACTATGTCACACCTTGAAGATAGAGATGTTGACACATCCTGCCTTTTCTCCCTCACTGATGGAAAAGACAGGCATGCTCAAAATTGACCAAAATATCAGACACTGAGGAATTAACACAAGTAAACCTGATTTATGAAACTCAAGTTTAGTTACATACTGCCAACATACTCTCTAGGGTGGAAGAGAGATTAAGTGGAAAACTTAAGTCATTTTTTAAAAAATGCACATTTCTCAGGGAGCAAAAGAAAGTAGTAAAAGAAGAGACTGAGCTGGAACATCTGCAATCCCAGCTACTCCTGAGGTAGGAGGTTAGCCAGGGCAAAGTTAGAGACATAGATCAAGTGATAGAGTGAAAGGCTTAAAGTGCGATGGAAACAGATTTCTGATTTGGGGAATGGGTCAGGAGAATCAACCACCAGAACTCAAATGTGAGGAATTCTGCCCTACCCATCTCTGCAAATTGCTGTAGGGGTTAAACAAGATAGTGTAATGTTTGGAGCTCTGAATATATATAGGGCCACACAATTACAAGATAATGAGTTACTTTAATCCCTTCATCACCATCTAAGCTAAAGAATGAAGGAATACTGAGTCCCAGAATTGAAATTTGAGTATATTAATGTTGTGCCTGAACTATGAATTTATTCCCTTTGGTTTATGGGTTGGGGGTGTGGCTCAAAAGTATGAGACCCTGAGTTCAAACCCAGCACTGCCAAAAAGAACTTTTGGTTCAAATTGAAAAAAAAAAATAAGCCCCAAACATTTCAGGATGTACAGTATAGCCCCTTGAAAACCATTATCTCCACACATCCATACACAAGCAGATATATAATTTATCTGTGTGGATTGGGATTATTGTGAATTTACTATTCTCTTTCTATACAAGAATCTATCACAATGAATATATATTTATCCCAAGAATAAAACAATTTCCAGTGTCTACTTTTAGCTAGTAAATAAGGGTATTCCTTGATTTGGAATTTTCTGGTATCCAAATTTATATACTAGATATATCTGGTTAAATTTTATTCAATTTCTCTCACTATCCAAATTCTCAGTTTTTGTTTCCCTATGCTCAGGAACAAGATTTAGATAGAGAGGGAATATTTGTAATTGCTTTTTTTTTTTGTGGTACTGGGGTTTGAACTCAGGGCCTACACGTTGAACCACTCCTCCAGCCTTTTTTAGTGATGAGTTTTTTCAAGATAGGATCTTCAGAACTATTTGCCTGGGCTGGCTTCAATTTCGATTCTCCTGATATCTGCCTCCTGGCATGAGCCACCAGCACCTGACTATAATTGCTTTTTTTTAAAATATTAGCCTCATTCTTGGCACAATTATTTTGCTAGTGTGTGTGTTTTCCTTACAAACATCTCTCTGATTTGGAATAAGATTATAAAAAACATGTCAAGGTTTTATAGAAAAATATAACTTTAATAAACTAAACTAGAGGTGGGAGTACTCATGTGATGATCAGACACTCCTCCAATAGCAACACACCACAACCAGAGAGGACGGACAAGGCATCTAAGAACCAATATCCTTTACTTCCGAGGAATAGGAGGGAGGTATTGTTGGGTAGCCCAGAAAAAAGGATCAAGAGTCTTCTTTTTCCTGAAACCTATGGAGAAAGAGAGAATGTTATATTAACCAAATGAAGAGTTTCTAGCAGTATAAGATGAGATACTCAGTTATATAACCAAAGAAGGACTTTTATTTATTTATGACACTGTAGAAGGCTAGTTTCCTAAACAATCTGCCACCTTCAAAGTAACTAAAAATGCTGGGATTAACACATCTAATTATCAACTTGAAGGATAGCAAAGATTTCTTTAGGATGCAAAAAACTCTAGCCAATAGTTTTTTAAAAGGATAAACTGAACCTCATAAAAACTAAAAGCTTTTTAGAGTTGGGTATTGTTGCATATGCCTATAATCCTCTGCCATACTCAGTAGGCAGAGGCAGGAGGATGTTGAGGTCAAGACCAGCGTAAGCTACATCGTGAGATTCTTTAAAACAAAACAAAAAACACAAATGATGATTCCATAGTTCTAGTTCTAAAAAACATACAGACTAAAATCATCCAAAAAAAGGTTGACAGAGTGGCTCAAGTGGTAGAGTGCCTGCCTAGCAAACATGAGGCCCTGAGTTCAAATTCCACTTAAAAAAAAAAAAAAGGGCAGGTGGGGGAAGCACCATGAGAGTCTGAAGAAATAGCAGACAGCATGATGTGGGAAACCCTCAGGACCCCCAAAGCCTCTTGGAAAGGAGCGGAGTCACTGTAGCTTTTGTGCAACAGCCCTAAGAGAGATTGCAACAGTCCAAAAGGATAGTTGCTGAACAACCCTGTTCTCTCTCTGCATTGGACTGGGAAAACCCGGTCCTGAGAACATGATGTTCTGCACTTGGGCTCCTAGCCATAGCAACGTGACCAACGTGACAACTAATTCTAGTACAGAGGTCAAGGGAAACCTGGGTACTGCCATGTACTCCTTCCTGCTTGTCTGCACTGCTTAAGTACTCTCTGCAGAAGATAAACACACCATTGCTGCCCGGCACAAGCCTGAGTTCGTGTCGTTATTCCCGCTCGAGCACCCAAGGCCAGAGTAGGAGCCCCCACTGTAGGTGGACTGCAGCAGCATGAGACCCACAAAAATAGGATATAAGAAGATAAACATTTTTAATATACATTTAAAGAATAAAAAGTACAATTTAAAATGATTAAGGAGTTGGGAATTATTAAACTGAGGAGATTTGAAAATATAGTAGGACTCAATATTAAAAAGAAATAATAGAAATAAATTGAAGACAAAATTAGTGACTAGAAGAGAGATGAGGAGAAATTACCTAGAAGGCAGCATAAAGAGAAATGAGAAGCTGGGTGCTGATAACTCACACCTGTAGCTACTGGGGAGGCAGAAATCAGAAGGATCAAGGTCCACCAGCCCAGACAAATAGTTCTCAAGACCCTATCTCACAAATACCCAGCACAAAAAAGGGCTGGTGGAGTGGCTCAATGGTAGAGTATCTGCCTAGCAAGTGTGAAGCCCTGAGTTCAAACTCTAGTCCTACAAAAAATAAAATAAAATGGAAAATATGAAAGACAAGGTAAGATAAGTGGAGACTACAAAAAAGGTGTAATAAACAACTAATTAGAGCTTTAGAATGTGAGAACTGAGAACACAGGGAGGGACAATATTAAATAATTTCCATGATTGATGAAAAATAAATCAATTCTGAGCTTCAGAAAATCTAATAAATCCCAAACAGGATAAAAAAAATAGGGCCTGGAGTGTAGCTACATGGTAGAGTGCTTGCCTAGCATGCTGGAGGCCCTGGGTACCAACACACAGCACTGCAGGTGGAAAATATGAAAGCCACATCTTGATATACTGTAGTGGAACTGCAAAACACCAAAGACAAAAAACCGTTCTTAAAAAAATTCATAGAGCCAGCTGCTCCAGATGGCGCTCACCTATAATTCTAGCTACTTGGGTGGCTGAGATAGGGAAGATGGTGGTTCAAGTTCAGCCCAAATAGTTCTGAGACCCCATCTTCAGAATAGCCAGAGCAAATGGACTGGAGGTGTGGCTCAAGCTGTAGAGCACCCCCTTTCCAAGTGTGAAGCCCATATTCTTTAAGTCATGCCTAGCTCTCACCAAAATAAAACTACCTTGACTGCAGTTGATTCCAGCATAGCATGAAGATCACTAAGCAATACCTGCCTTATATGGTCTTAACTTTCCTTTTAAGATTTAGTTCACTGGCTATAAAAAGGGTAAGAAAAACGTCACTTTTAAAAAATAAAAAAGTGCCAGGCACAGGCAGCTCATGCCTGTAATCCTATCTACTCAGGAAGCAGAGATCAGGAAGATCATGGTTGGAAGGCAACCCAGGCAAATAGAGAGCCTATCTCGAAAAAACTGGTCACAAAAGGGCTGCTGGAGTGGCTCAAAGTGTAGGCCCTGAGTTCAAACCCCAGCATCACACAAATAAATAAATAAATAATTTAAAAATAAGTGACTCATCTCCTTTTTAAGGATGGGGCCAAAGAAAACAATTGTTTAGTACAAGAAATCTGCACTGAGGCCAGGCATGGATGCTCAATTTGTAATCCCAGCTAATCAGGAGGTAGGTGGATGGCTGTCTGAGGTCTATTGGGGCAAAAATTCAAGACTATGAGAAAAATAACTAAAGCAAAAAAGGGCTGGGATTGTGGCTCAAGTAGTAGAACTAAAGCACAGAGGCCCTGAATTCAAACCCCAGTGTGTGTATATGTGTGTGTCTGTGTGTGTGTGTCTAAGGGAGGGTCATAGGGGAAGGAGATTGTCACTTAATTTTTAAGTTAGCAAATAGAAAGGGCAGAGGGAGGGGAAAAGGACACCCACTTGCAGCTGGTACAGGTGTAGAAGACAGTCTGCCCTTCATCGGCGGATCGCATCTGTCTGGTGTGGTATGCCATTCCTTCATGACCACAACGAGAGCAGCGCCTGTCAATCTGGGAAGAAACTGGAGTATCAGGAAGACCAATATCTCCCTATTTTTCACAGAAATCAGGCCATAAGACCTCTCAGATGTCCTTGATCTAAAGTCACCTTCCACCCCACCCCCATCCTCCAGCCCCGATCTCTGCAATCATCCCTCCATTTCTTTCCCGTCCTTGAACTTATTATCTTACCACTGGTCCCTGGAACTCGGGTCCTTCCTCCATAGACATGGGCATGACTGTTCCCAGTTTGTGGAACACAACTGAGGTCTTCACAACCTTCCCTTCGAAGTCTGCACGGGCAGTGAAAACTTATTGTGGAAACAAGCCGAGGCAACTAACTCCCGCAACGCCCTGAGGGTTGGGGCAAGAGGCCCCACATCCTTCCCTTCGGGTATCTTCGCTAGGCCAAGTGTGCAAGCGCTGGATTCCCGCTCTAGGGCTCCTAAGGCCCACCCCGTCCAACCGTCTGGAGGTCCCCAAGCCTCAGACCCTTCCCCTCCCGCCGTCGCAGGGACACCCACCCCGCACGTTGACGGCGAAGCCACAGCGAATACAGGTGACCGTATTCTGAGCCCCGGGCAGGGGTAGGACCGAGCCGCAATCCGGACAGAAATCCAAGTCCGACTGAAAGCTGGAGCAGGTGCTGGCGAGGTCCATGACCGACATGTGCTCGAGGGCTGGAAGGGAAGGAGGAGAGGGGAGAGGAGGAGGGAGAGAGAGAGAGAGAGACTCCTCCGACTCAGGAGTTATTCCTAGGTCCCAGGATGAGAGCCTTTCTCTCACTTACACCTCCTTTCTCTACCAGCTAAGGCGTCCAAACGTCAGGAATGCGGAGCCTAAGGCGCCGCAGGAAGTGGTGCCCTGGCTGGGGCTGACTACAGCTCAGCTCTGCGACTCCACCGGCTGGAGCGCCCGCTAAGGAAAGGCTGCGGGGCAGCGAGAGCGCCTGTTGGGCTGGAGCGTCAACACGTCTGTCTGGGCGACAATTTGGTCGTGACGTCATAATTAATTGCGAACCTTATCCCTCAGAGCCTTGAGGAGGAAGCGGAGCCCTTCAGAAAGGAAGGTTGTGACGCGACGTTTAACCTGGTACTGTGACGTACAATAAGAAAAACGAGAAGCAGCACGGAAGTCCGCCACTTTTCCCGCTAGGACCCAATCCTGAGATACTGATTTCTTTTTGTTCTGCATCCTACGGAGACTTAGTCACGGGGGACGACTCCCTGAATACCGTACTGACTAGCGCATAAGGAGGTCGTTGGTCAGAGAACTACAACTCCCACCGTTCCTAGACGGTTTCTTCTTTGCGGCTGCGCATTGGTTAAAAACAAAGCTAAGCATTCTGGTCCTTACTGTTCTGGTAGCCTAGCAGGTCCTTTCTCCAGAAGCCAGCCTCTCTCGCGTTCTTTGCGGGGCAGTTCAGGGCACTTGAAAGGGGTGAGTCAACTTATTGAGAGGCAGGCAGTAGTGGGGGTGAAGGCAGGCGAGGGACGCTTTAGTCTCGCCAGGACGAAAAGAAGCAGGGCTAAGTGGAACATTTGTCGAGGATTGTGGAGGTGGTGGAACAAAGAGATTAGGGCTCCTCATTCTTAAAGCTCCTGCCAGATGAGGGAGAGTAGCGTTAAGTCAAGAGTGCCCCTTAGGATTTCATAAAACAGGTCAGTTTGGTTTTAACTGCAAATCATCTTCCATTATCCCCTCCCCCATTCCACCTCCCATTCATCCAACTCTAAATTATTGTCATCCATTAGGTGAACAGTTGACCTTCCCCTAATCTTTTATGAAGTGTGAAGATATATATCTTTAGAAAATCTTGTTTTCATTTATTTGTAACTTACAATGTAAGTAGAAACTTACCTAGAAGCGAAGTTCCTTAGGTCCTTCCTAGCCTCCCCACAACCACCCAACCTGACAGATGTGCTAAGTAACTTCATATAAAAGTTCTGGACCCTTCACGATATTCTTTTTTGAAGGAAACAAGCTGTGGTCTTTCCTTGGATGCGACCCCCATCTGCCTTTCTGTACAATAAATGTGAGACAACATCATAATGAAGGGGTTAAAATTCTCAGCCGCTGAAGAGTGACAAGTTCCATAATTTCACTTAACCATGAAACTGGACGTCATTTGTTTATCTTGCAAAGGGAGATCTGTTGTTGAGCACGGATAATATTTTTTATTTTCACTTCTCTGTGTGTCTTTCTCGAGATTGAAATTAGCCCTCGTCCTCACTTCCACTTTTATTGATTGATTCGTTGGTTGACTGCAGTGCTGCATAGCAAACCCAAGGCCTGGGGCATGCTAGGCAAGTACTTTCCTACTGAGCTACATCCCAGCTCAGTATGAGCTACATTCCCCCCTCCCATATTCTCCTCTTTATAGTTTCATATTCAGCAAACACATACCATGAGTTGAATACTATCCTAATGCAGTAAAGGAACGCAAGCATTATAAGGCATGGCCCTTTCCCAACAAAAGCTCACAATCTGTCCAATAAACATCAAGCACCTATGCCAGGCTTTGAGCCAAGGCTGGGACCGTAGGGTTGAAATCTGTTTTCTGACTCAAAGAACACAAACGAAATATTAGAACACAATGAAATGCAGTAATAAGTACAAAATCCTTGGTCAGGCATGTAAAACATGGCTATAAACTTCAAAGAAGACTGGTAAATGCTTTAATAAAAAGACAGATGCAATGTTAAATTGGGAGAAGCTTAGATATTGTGTGACAAGGATAATAAAATTTAAAAAATCAAACTTTGAGAATTTGAGATTATAGAGTAATGTTAAGTTCCATACTAGATGTTATATGCTAAGAGATGAAAGTAAGATGGTATTTATTATTTATTTATTTTGGGGGCACATCTGAGATTTGAATTCAGGGCCTCATGCTTGCTAGGCAGGAGCTCCACCACTTGAGTCACTCCACCAGCCCTGTTTTTGTGTTGGATATTTTCAAGATAGAATCTCGGGAACAATTCCCTGGGCTGGCTTCAACACTGGATCCTCCTGACCTCTGCCTCCTAGGATTACAGGTGTAAGCCACTGGACCTGTCCAAGTTGGTCATTTTTTATTTTTTTTAATTTTATTTTATCATTTTTACATTTACTTACGTGTATATACATTATTTGGGCCACCTCCCCCCCAAGATGGTCATTTTTAATGACCAAATGGTATATATAGACAAATAATAATGTGCCTAAGTAGTCAGACTAAGCATTCAGTATCAGATTCTCTTCATTAATGTAGACAAAGTGTAGATATACAATATAGTTCACACCTTTGTAAGACTAAGTTTCAACATCAAAATATTAAGTTATATATGAATACAGACCCCCCACAATGAAAGCTATGATTGGTTTTCAGATGAGTTGTAGAAATAAAAAATAAGTGCTTAGAGGAAGGCAAAATCACTGACAGAAGACTAGGAAGACTTTATAGAGAATGCTTGATTTGTAAAACACAAATAGCTCCCATTATTGAGAACTTACCTTATATCAATCATTGTGTCTCTATATCTAATCCATATTCATTCTTTACATCCAAGGGAAGTTTTTGTCTTACATCTCCATTTTATACATGAGGAAACTAACACAGATGTGACTTTCCCTAAGTCACACACCCAGGATGTAGTGGAATTGTGGTTCACATTTAGCCCTATCAGTCTCCAAAGCCTCTTTTAACTATAAATGATATACATCACAGAGATGTATGCCAGGCATTTTCAGGGCTTAAATACCTCACAGTATACTCAGGTTAGACCAGGGATGACACATAAAAGTTAAATTGGTAGTCTTCTCTTGTGGTGCCACCAGCTTGCTCTATAAATAAACCCAGAGGAGCTACAAATTCCCAGCCTGAGGGGCTCAACAGGGAATGGTCTCATAATGGACTTAGGGTGAAGGATGATTGGTAGCAGAAGGCAACCAAGCAGAGGGGTGACAATAAGAACAGAATTTCAGCACAAAACATTAGAAAGCAGAGATGCTGTATGTGCTGATAGAGGCACAGAGGGCCCAGCTCGAGAAACTGCAAAACAACAACGGACTGCTAAAACTGGGGTCTAGAATTTTCTCAGAAAACAAAGGATGCTTGGAGGATGAACAATCTGACAAAGATGTAGTTGGGCAATACCTCGCCAAGGAACCTGTTTCTTCCCTCTCCCAAACCCAAATACAAGATTTGGAATGGTTCACACTGAGTCCACAGAAGAAGTATGCTTTTAGTTCATATGGAAGGAATGATCCTCCTCTTATTAAAAGAGTGTTCATTATTGCCACCATAAGAATACAGTGGCTTCCAAAGGGGGAATGGCCCTTGTTCTGGGCCAAATTGATATGGTTCTTTGACTTAGATGGTTGGTGAGCAGATATGTTGCATCTCCCACATTCTAATCTACCTTTGGATTTTTATCTTCCAGATTGGCCTGGGCTAAAGCATCTAAAGACCCTAGGATTGCTGCAGGTCAACAGTCTCCACTGGAGAAAAAGATATTGGTAAATAAATCATCTTCAAATCATATAGTTTGGAACTACTTAGAGAAGGTTTAAAATCCTTCTGCCCAAGTAACACCTTCACCTTTCAATATTGGCCAGTGAAACTAGTTATTGATTGGTGGTGGGTATTTCATACTTTCAGAGCTCCTAGCCTTACCTGGGAGTGAAGAGAGTAAAATTAAAATGATTTCGCTAAGGTAAATAAAAGAACAAGTATCTTTTCCTGGTGTTAATAAGGATTGTAGGCTCCTGTGTTCAAAGGAAAAAGGTGATCACATTCTAAAATTCTGAACCTCACTTTAACAGAATCTAGGTGGTGTACATACAAAAGCAGCAAGACACTTGATAACTCAAAAATGGCAAGAGGAATATGAGACACTCTCTAGGGAGCAAGCTCTTTCTCTTGACTACTGGCTTGCCAAAGCAGAGTCCTATTATAATAAAAGAATATTGGAAATGATGAAAGAAGAGAGATGCAAGGATATGAAGATGAAAATGTTGAGGGAAACAACACAAAACATAGAGGAACAAAAACAGAACTACTGGGTACCCGAGAGAGAGAGGAAACAAATAGAAAGACACATACATCGAACAGGACAGGCCAGAGAATTTAAGAACAAAACTTGTAAACCAAGACCCCTCAGTGAAACAGTATTACCAAAAATCATGCCGGCAAAGCACGTCATTCCAAAAGAACAGAGGAGAAAGCAGGTAAATGAGAGGGAACAGAGACAAATTAAAGATCATCAGGACCGTATGATTCGAGGAAGAGAAATTATAGAGCAAAAACTCGAGGAAAGAATCTTGAGAAAAAGCCAGAGCCACCCACCTCCACATGAGAAGCTTGAGAGAGTAAAGAAAGAGATAAAAGAGTTTGAAAAAGTTATTGCATATCCACTTTTCCAGCCATGCAGAAGTCCAATTAAAGTGAATCTTCTTATGGAAAAGTCTCAGAATAGAGAGGAAGTAAGTACAGTTGTAAAACCACATCAAAGAAAATTCTTGGCTGTGCCACCCTTTTTGAGAAGTCAAATGGAACAGATGAAAAATTAGTAAAGTTTCAATGCATTTGTGATGAAATAGTGTCTCTTAAAGGAACCATTTTTTTTTTCTAGTTGTCTTTCCTAAGGTCAGTGAATAGTCTCTGGAACTGGAGAAAAAAAGATCATTATTTGAATTCCTTTTCAGGCATTTCATGAATTTTCCTTTCTTTGGGGTTCTGTTATTGGAGAATTATTGCATTCTCAAGGGATGTTGCATTCACTTTTTTATATTTCCCTCTCTCTCTCTCTCTCTCTCTGTGGTACTGGGGTTTGAACTCAGGGCTTCACATTTGTTAGTCAGGTGCTCTATCACTTGAGCCATTCCTCCAACCCTGCTTTGTGTTGAGTATTTTCTCTTTTTTTGGTATGTATTTGCTTTTATTAACATGATCACAATATTATTTCCATACACTTTAATAATATGTTCTTAGTATCATAAGACATTCAGTTAATATTCAAATCTCTAGTGATCTCATAAATATCATCATTTTGAGAGTTTGTTTGAACCAAATCAAAACAAGACTTCTTGAGATTGATTGCAGTAAATCTAAGGTCATATTTGACAAGCTTTCCTTTTTTATTTCCTTCTTTTCTTTTGCAGAGTGAACAAATAGGGTTGTAGAGTTTCCCTTGGTTTGGATTTTGCTGATTGGATCTATGTGTTGTTTCTATGGTTCTCTGTACTGTGTGCATTGTACCACCAGAGAGTTGCATCCTGAGGCCTGATAAGTTTGATATCTCATCTCCATTTATCCCCCTCTCATTTGGTGATAATAGCAGCTGTTGGTTATCAATGGCTAGACACACTTCATTTGCAACTGCAAAATGCTAATACTTTAATTCACTGTTCCTTCTTCACTGATTACCTTCCATAAAGAGAAAATTGCTCCATCTATAGTTTAGCAGCACCATAATGCAATTTTGTAGGAAAGCAAGATAGATACTTGATCCTTTACCTTTAGGTTGTTTTACATTCATTATAGTTTTAAATTAAAGAGTAGTTTTTCTAGTGTTCTTCAATAGTGACTGGTTTTCCTTATGTCTTTTTGTTAATTTCATTATGAACTTGAGATTTAAGTTTTTTGTAGTCCATTAGGATTATCCATTTTGATTATTGTTGTACTGGGGGTACATTGTGACATTTACAAAAGTTCTTATGATATATCACAGTTGAATTCACCTCTTCCATCATTCTTAGGTTGGGCATTTTCGAGATAGGATCTCTCAAACTATTTGCCCGGGCTGGCTTCAAATGTGATCCTCCTGGTTACTGCCTCCTGAGTTGTGAGGATTATGGGTGAGAGCCACTGGTGCCTAGCCTTTTTCATATTTCTTGTTCTATACATTGATATCTATGCATGTATTATAACAGCTACCTTTTCTATTTTTATAGGTTCTTTTTTTCTGTAGAGAGAAGCTTTTTCTTAGAGATGAATGATAGTGTGGTTAGTTGGGTATAATGTCTTGTGTTTGAGTCTGGGTGGACTTAGTAATGTGATTGCTGCAATTTCTTTAGCTATAATTAGTGATGCCTGCAGTTTTGTCAATGGTGTAGGCTGTGGATATTTGAGACTGGTATGGAATGGTGTGATTTTGCTAGGGTTCAAACCACGAACCCTAGCTGTCAGGCTGTCATGCTATGTGTGGACACCTGCAGGTACTGTGGGTTGTAACTGAATGGTGGCCACTCTGGAGGAGGCAGGGTGGCCATGTTGCTGGATGTTGAGGTGGACTCAGGCACACATTGCTGCTATTTGCCTGTCTGACTGGTGTACTTTTTGGTAGTGGGGGGAGGTGAGTCACTTGGCAGTCTGTTGGCCATAATAGGTGCATAAGGGCTGTGTTAGACTAGCTGGTTGTGAGGCAGGCTCCTGGGGAGGTGGGGAGCTGCAACCTGGATGGCTGAGGGCCAGCCAGCTGTTTTGTGGGCTTTCCAGTGGGGGAAGAGCCAGTCTAAGGTGTCCTTGGCTATGTTGGATTGACCAGCTGTGCAGTAGACTCAGTATGGGAGGATGTACAATGTGGGCTTGTACTTTCTAGCAACACAACCAGGTGAATTCCAGGCAGTTGTCCAGACATTTGAGTTTGGGAACTATGAGGGCTGTGGGAATCACCTGTGCAGTTACCTATAGTGGCAAATCGGGACCATTGCGGGGGGGTCTCTAGCTTATCTCTTACACATAAGAAGAAATTGGTTTTGGCTCTGAGCCAGTCTGGGTGGGGGAAGCAATGTGGGTGCTGTCTTGGGTTTTCATGCTCCATAGGCCTCTCACCACTTCCCTGCTACTCTGCAGCATATCCCTTAACTCTATTTAGTTATCTTACTGACAGTAGTCCTAGTAAGCTCTTATTTAAATGTTAGCTATTATTATTCTCTGTGAAAATTTTATAAAAATGCAAGGAGTTGAAAGATGTGTGAAAAAAATTAGAAAAATTGTTCCTTATTGCCTACAAGAATACACCCTATTAGAAGCTCAACCTGCTGCAGTCTTCTTTTTTTCCTGGCAGTACTTGTATTTGAACTCAGGGCCTGTGCTTGTCTAGTCACTTGAACCACAACCCCAGCCCTTTTCTTCTTTAGTTTTTTTTTTTTCAGATAGGGTTTCACTTTTGCCTGGTGCCAGCATCACATTGCAAATCTCCTACCTCCATCTCTCAAGTAACTGGGATTATAGGAATATACCACCACACCTGTTTTTTTTTTTGAGATAGGGTTTCACCAACTTTTCTGCCTGAACTAGCCTTAAGCTGCAGTTCTCCATTCTCCACCTCCCATGTAACTGAGATTCCACATATGTACCACCATGCCCAGCCCTGGTCTTTTCTTCTTGAACTGTCTACCCTTGTTGGAGACCTGATTCTAAGAACTGCTGAATTCTTGCAGATTGATCCTTGTTACCTCTGGCCAACAGTATAACATACATTCATGTTCCCATCCTGTCTCTGTATGTAAGCTTGGCTCGCACTTCCTTAGACCTGTTTCTGACTCACACTTCACACAGACTTCTTTGCTGTGTCTGTTCTCTGATCTTTTATCACACCTTGGCTTCAGATTCCGTACCTTGCATAGAAGTGGATCATGAGGCCATGCGTGGTTGTGCATGCCTGTAATTCCAGCAATTAAGAAACTGAGGCAGAAGGATCTGGAGATGGAGTCCAACCTGGGCTACATAATGAGACCCTATCTTAAAAAAAAAAAGAAGTGGATCATGAGAATGTATGAGGTAGAAGACTTAGAAATTCAAATCAGTTCAGTAATGACAAAGCCTTCGAATTGAGTGGGACTTAAAAGTAATCTAATACATGCCTTGTTAGTAGTTGTTTACCATGAAGATTTTCAATGCTGGATACATAAATTGGCAAGTTCATTCACCCATCCTTCTCCAGATCTAGCATAACAGTAATTGGTGATCCCAGGGCAATTTCATACCTAATATGAGTAAGAGCCCGTGGTTTAAGGGTTTAGCTTGTCCAAATATGAATTCATCATCTCCACCTACAAACTGTATTCACCTTCTCACTTCCTGGTGTTATACCATAACACTTCCAAGCACTGTTGTTTAAATCCTGAGTCACACTTAATGCTTTTCTTTTTCAACGTGAAATGCAATACATAAATAAAAATGTGTATGTACAGTTGAAAGGCCAGTAATGACTAGGTACCCACTAGCCAGGCTGAGAACTGTGGAATCTTACCCCACACCAGGAGACCCCTGTACTCTCCCTATTCACATACCTTTCCCTGACCTCTAGAAGCACCTGCTTTCTAAACTTTGTGGTAATTGTTGCTCACATTTTATAATTTTGCCATCTAAGTATTTATCCCTAAGTGATACCATTGTTTATAGTCACTTGTTGATGCCCTTTATATTAATGAAATTATACTGTATATGATCTACTTTTTTTGCTTGTTAGTATTTTTTAATTCATCCATGTTGATGTGTAGCATTGTAGTTCATTACATGAATGCATGTGCTACAAATGAATTGTCTATTCTATTGACATCATTTGAGTTGTTCATAGTTTTTCCATTTCTTTTCTTTTACAAACCATACTTCTGTAAATATTCCTTTCATGTGTTTCTGGTGCATGTGTGAAGGAGTTTCTTCAGGGTATGTTAGTTGTAGCATTCATATGACAAGCCTGGTCCAAGAGCTTGTTACATTTCCATTCTATTGTGCTGTATGTCTGCAGAGTCAAGCACGTCTTAGGCTTATAATAAATATTTGTTGAAAGAAAACTGAAAATTTGTCAACTACAGGAAAAAGCTCTCTAAAGAGCCAGGCCCAAGATACAAAAATAGCTGTTAACATTATACAGCTCACATCCTGTCCATGCATAATTTTAAATCATAGTCAATCTTTGTTTTTGTATTTTAGATCAAGTACTAAAATATCTTTGTTTACTTTTTTTTTTTTGGTGGCAGCACTGAGATTTGAACTAAGGGCTTTCCACTTGCAAGACAGGCACTCTACTGATTGAACCACTCCTCCTGCCCTTTTTGCTCTGGTTATCTTGGAGATAAGGACTCACTTTTTGCCTAGGCCACCCTGGACCATGATCATCCTATTTTAAGCTTCCCACCCTTACTGGGATGACAGGTGTGCTGCCACCATGCCTAGTTTTTGGTTTTTTTTTTTTTTTTTCTGTTGAGATGGGGTCTCACAAACATTTTTCCCTGGTCTGGCCTGGAACTGAGATCTTCTGGATCTCAGCCTCACAAATATCTAGGATTATAGGTGTCAGCCACCCATACCTGGCAACTTTTTTTTTTTTTTTGAGACAGTCTCTGTGTAATCTAGACTGACCTCCAACTCGAAATCCTCCTACCTCCCACTCCTGGGCACTGGGATTGTAAGCATATACCATCATACCTGGCTTAGTGGGTTTTAAATGCCCATGTAATAAATTCAGAATTTGGTTTTCCTTTTATCTCCTTTCTCAGAACTTTTTCTGCAATGTCTTCTAGATAAGGTTTTCTACATACTCCCCTATCAAGGCAGCTAGCAGCATAATAAAGTTTCATTGCATTCTGAACAAATAGATTCCCAGAGGATGAGAACAGAGAGCCCCCCTTTTAATATAGGATGCTAGAGTCCCTGGAGAGCCAAGGGCTCCATAGCAGT